GCTGCCGGGGGCCACCCTGGGTAAGCGTCCCCGGGTCCAACTCTTTCATCCAGCTCACCTTACGTGGAGGAGGGAGACCCAGACAAGGAGTAAGAGTTTCTTGTGTCAGGGATGCCATAAATGGGGAGAGCTTGGGCTTTGCTGATGTGGAAAGTTTTTCCCTGTTCTTATTTTCGGCTACTTCTTCGACAGGTCTGAGATTCTGTAATGTCCTATTTCTAGACATTATTTTAAATACATTTAGTATCTGGGAAACCAGCTATTTCTCTGACTACATCATTTTGTCAGTTCTCATATGAAATGCAGATGCTCCGCCACACAACTGAGAAATCTTTCACGTGATGAGGCAAAGCTACTCATCGAAGGTCACTGGGCTTTGGTGTACCTTCCAGCCTTATGAATAAAAACCCACGATGCCTTTGAAGCCTTGTATGAAATTCCTGTGGGGAGAAACTCTTGTGACTTTAGACTATAGTCCTCAAAGTCTGTCCCATTTTTGTTCTCTTACCTTGTAACTTGGGTTCTCATTCCAAAGTCCAGTGACCTCATTGATTGCAGCACCTCAATACAGCCCATGTACTGGAATAAGAAAAGAAAAAAAAAAAGAAGAAGTAGGAAAAAATAGCACAAAGATAGCTTTTAGCTTCAGAGTGATTTCCTGGGAAACACCGTAAATCAGCTCCTGATATCAAATTACATTTGCACACTCAGCCTACCATTGATATTTCTGACCATTAATGGACACAGGCCTTCAACTGCAGTTCAGTTATAAAACGTCAGCTGAATCCAAAATACGATATCAGGAATACAGCTGTCATCCCTGACAAATGTGAGCTCAGAGGTTAAGAGCTTGGGCTCTGGGGCCAGACCATGTGAATCTGTATCCTGGCTCTGCCAGTTGTTAGTTATGGAACCCCAGCAAGTTACTCAACTTCTCTGCATCTCAGGTTTGTCACAGTAACATGGGGATAAAATCAGAATTGTTGTGAGAGTAAAATTATTTCCTACAGGTGTTCTAAGAGCAGTGCCTGATACACTCATGTGCTCAGAGATCAGAGGAAGCAAAACTCAAGGTAATACAGGAATATCAAATCTTCTAGGGAGATAAAATAAGCATATAAGTGCAGATAATACAGGACAGTAATATAGGAAGGTCTTATTTTTTTTTTTTTGCAAGATCATTTATTTATTCAAAGGGTTCAAGGGGAAAAAAAGTCATGTCCTACACCAGGAATGCGTACATTTAGCTTGAACATGGAGTACTGGAAAAGGCATTGAGACTTACAAAGCTAAAAGATGGTTTATATTTAATGTGGCAGCAGCGGGAGCCATCAGGCTGCTGGAAAGAGAGTGACGGGATCGTCTGTGTTTGAGGAGCTTTAATGTCAGCAGCAGTATGAAGGTGGGTTCATGGCGAAGAAAAAGTGAGGATGCTCCTGTCGAGAGGGAAGTAACGACAGCTCACACTGAGGAGGGATGGTGGCAGTAGGAAGGAGGGGACAGATTCAAGTGACATCGTGGAAATAGAGACTACACCATTCGGCAGTTGATTTGATCTAGAGAATAAGAGAGAAGGATGAGTCAAGAATGACTCAGATGTTTCCAGCCAGGGTAACAGAGGGAACAGTGATTCCATTAACAGGAACAGGAAAGCCAGGAGAGGGGAAGATGAGTTGGTTTAGGACCCACTGACTGAAAGACACTGGTGGGGTATCCAGGAAATAACAAGCTGATAGTTGAAAATTGGGTTCTGGAATCATGCAGAGGCATTAAGTGTAAGGACTTAGTAGTCTTCTGTGTAGCTTTGCCAGGTGAGGCAGTGGGAGTAATCCTCTTAGCAGGGCCTCAGTTGACAAGGGAGAGTGTTTCTCTGAGAATGAGCTCGGAAATGTTATGAGAGCCAAGTGGTCTGATTGAAAGTGATCTGTAGGCTCCTTGGAAAAGATCTGCCTCCTGTTTAGCTTTTCTCTGGAAGCCTTGCAGCCTCCCTCTGCTTGTGGAAAGATGGCAGGAGCTGGGGGTGCCTCCCCAGATACTTCTTGCAGTATTTCTCAGCGAATTCTACAGATTTCACATCCTAAGAGGAGGTCAGTGCACCAAGTGTTACCCTGCCTCGTGCAGGGTAGAGCGTGATGGCCAGGACAATTACCTGGCCATTCTCAGCCAGATTCCTGTTCATCACAACCCTCCTGCGGGATCTAGTATTGAGAAAATTTTTTTTTAATATTTTATTCTGCCCCAATCACATTTAACATCCCAAGGCTTGAGTACCTCAAGGAAGTAAGCGATGTCTAGAGATTTCTGTTCAATAAACCATTAGACATAGTAGGAAAGGAAAGCTAGATGTAGCACGGTATTAAGCCCATCTCAAAACTGTCATGAGGGCTTCCCTGGTGGCACAGTGGTTGAGAGTCCACCTGCTGATGCAGGGGACACAGGTTCGTGTCCCAGTCCAGGAGGATCCCACATGCCGCAGAGCGGCTGGGCCCGTGAGCCATGGCCATTGAGCCTGCGCGTCCGGAGCCTGTGCTCCGCAACGGGAGAGGCCACAACAGTGGGAGGCCTGCGTACCGCAAAAAAA